TGACATCAAACATAATGCAAATAAATAGATGTGCAAATGAATCATGTCACAAGAAAGTCATGTGACCTCAGAGAGACAACAGTAGGGTGCGTGTAACACTGAAAAGTGACAGTGCATATAGAAGTAAAAGTGATGGTAAATATATGACATAAAGGTGCACTTGTCAATGTCAATAGGTATCAAAATGGTGTAAAATTAAACTACAAAACCTTTTTTCCTAAATAGGATACAATCATTTTAACTGTAGCACGTATATGTATTTTAAATCCACAAACAACAGAATAAAGCTTAATAAAGTTCTTAAGATTAATCCTAAAAACTTAATATTTCTTAGAGAAATATTCTAAAATTTGTACCTATATTAAGAAATATAACTGGAATATAACTTTCAAATAATGGTGTTGTTTTCCATTTTTTTTTTTGAGGTGTGCATATACAAGGAGGCTGGCAAATTAGAGACCAACCTCTTTGTTAAAGGAACAATATTGCTAATGCAATTCTGCCACAGTCCCCATTTGAGCGGATCCCCGCTGTCAGTGTTAAAAAGGTGGCTTTACTTACCTTTCCTCCCTTGCAGTTCTCGTCTCCAGTGTTCCACTTTGCTGAATTGGCATTGCAATAGATGAGCTTGAACAATCTAGTAAATTCCCATAGGAAAACATTTGGAGGCTAGTGTGTATGAATAGCAAAATGCTGGGATGGGCTCTCTGACACCATCTGATCAAAATAGTAGGGTTTCACTCCACTTTTTTGAGGAAAGACCTCTTTAGGTAAGTATGTTAGTATGACAGCCACTAGAGGCAGGTTAACTCTGCAATAAAAATATTGTGGTTCCTGCAGTATGGGGGAGAGGAGAGCATGGCACCCAGACCATTTCACTGAAATGAAGAGGTCTGAGTGCCTATGTAGTCCATTTGAAGAAACTGATTAAATAATTTATTACTGTTTGACAGAATAAAAATTTTGAATCTATACCAAAGAGCCAGTACATGAGTGTGAAAAGAATTGTATCTTATGAGACTATTTTAAAGAAACATTTGGGTGACATGACAAGTAAATTAAAGACGAGTGGATACCCTTAGGCAATTTTGTCGACAAAACATAATATTGTAAAAAAGATGTCTAGATCTAGCTTGTTAGAAACAAAAGGGAATGTAAAATGAAGAGCAAAGAGAATGATTTTCAGTACTCAGTTTGGCTCTCATAGTAAATCTATTCTTCATTCTATTAGGAACATTGGTGGATGCTGAGAAAATCAGTTCAAGGAATCAAGGAATTTAAATCACCTACACACATGGCCTACAAAAAAGGTAAATCTATTCGGGACCAAATAGTGAAGGCTGACTACAAACAAGTGCATTTTTTTTTTTAGCAATCCTAAAATGGCCATTTGCCCCCGCATCTCCCACGTGTCATGCAATGGCATCATTAGGGGAGACAGGGTTATGCACCCCAAAACAGGCAACACTTGTAATGTTAAAAGATGTTTCACTCACAATTCCTCTTTTGCTATATATGTTCCTAAATGCCCCATCGTTAAATTCTATAATTGTGAGGCTACCCAGAGAATTCAAGATAGAATAACTAAGCACAAGTCAACCATTAGAATTGGAAGACTAAATTTGCCAGTTGCTGAGCATTTTAAGGAAGCCCTGCACACCACTGCACAATTACATTTCCCTATTATAGAACAAATCCCTGAACTAAGAAGTTGGGTCAGCAGGCTCAGGCTGTTAAAACACATGGAATGATACTGGATCAAAGAATTAGATACACTTGAACCAGCAGTTATGAACAGGGAATCTATATTGTAAGCTCTACCTATTGTTCCTGTAGAAATGTGTAATTGTCTAATTTATTGTTAAATGTACCCCTTTGTAATATAGCTAACTGTTGTGGAATAAACTAGTTCTAAATAAATGTCATTAGCAATAATAGTAATAATCTATTAAAAATCAAATTCTTTCATACATTTAACATTTTCAGATTATATGGATTCCCTAGAATATCACATTGCACCATTCTAGGCTCTTCTGGAGTTCTTTAACCCCTTAAGGACCAAACTTCTGGAATAAAAGGGAATCATGACATTTCACACAAGGGATAATATAATGCTAGAAGGGATAATATAATGCTAAAGGGATAATATAATGCTAGAAATACAAATTTGTATTCCTGGCACTATTGTTCCCCCTCCCTTTTGGCCTCTCCCCCCAGCAGTGTAATAATCCCTTACTGTACTTACCCGATTCCATTGCGTATCTCCTTCAGTGCAGGGTTGGTGCTGAACCTCCTTCAACATCCCCTGCAAGCGCATTAGGCCCTACCCATAAGAAAGCAGAGCCGGACAACATCCAGTATTAGTTAGGCAACCAAAAGTCACCTAGTGTTACGCTACTTGGGTGAATTGGATTGGAACTCAACTGCAGCTTGTAAACCTCCCTAATTACTTTAGTGAAGATCCGGAGAAACTTTAACGTATCAATACTGTAGCTTTAAGAAAGGAGGGAATCGCTGGTAACTTGATTCAAATGAAGTTTTAATAAGTGTTAAACTTTAATGAATTGCATTTAGGCAATAATCCAATAAGAAGAAGTGCAAGTAATCAACAACACAAAGTTCATTAATAAGTATTTCTTCATAGAAGCATTAAGTAACATGCTTTGGTTAATGAGAATAATCTTCAATAGTAATGTTAAGCAAGTAGCTGAGAATAGTTGCAAAGCAAGAACAGTTCATAGTTAATAAGCATGATGGGAGTTGTCCTCCAGATAATTAGGAGCTTGAAGCATTGAGTGTATTTGCAAAGCAAGAAACAGTTCATAGCGAATAAGCATGATGGGAGTTGTCCTCCAAATAATTAGTAGCTTGAAGCATTGCAGATTTGAGTAAGCAAGAATAAGTTCATTATTAAATGAGATTGTAGATTAGTAGATGAAAGATATACTTAAGGTTAGTAGTCCTCCAATAATATAGAGATATCCACTTGAATTTGACATAAGTTTCCGTTCTCCTGTAATCCTCTATGACATGCTATACTTCCCTAGCCGGACGGCTAGAATGCCTTCAGAGCTTGAAGAGCCGGCGTGTCCCAGGAGCCGGCGTGTATTCTCTGAAGTTGGAATCACATCGCCAGGAAGTAGCTTGCACAATCACCCTCTCTCTGGCGCGGTCTCCCTAAATACTGTCAGAGCCACGTCAGAGGGGGGCGGGGTCCAGCTCCGCATAGGGGAGTGCCAAACCCGGAAGTGTTACCGCATGACAGGACCCCCAACCTAAGGAGCACACTCCGGGTGCTATTACCTCGGTTTCTGAGGGTATCCTCTGTGAAAAATGAAAGTGCCCAGGACATAGGTTCATCCCTTAAATAGGAAATCATTGAACAGACCTTAATCCTGTCTGTGGGGTAAGCCCTAGGTTTGAGAGTAAACAATAATTTGCATGAATTCAAAAATTCTCTATATTTAGAGTGATCTCCAAAAAATTTTTCAGGATTGCAGACAACAATGAAGACATTTCCATATTTTGAAAAGAAACCATTGGATTAGAAGTTGTCTTTGGATCTTCAGGAAACAAGGAGGGATGGAATCCATAATTTGAAAATAATGGAGTCATTTTGCTGCTTGAATGTATGGAGTTATTATAGGCAAATTTAGCCATGGGTAGCCAATTACTCCAGTCATCATGTAAATACGTACAGTAACAACAAAGGTATTGTTCCAGACATTGATTGACTCGTCCTGTTTGACCATTTGTTTGAGGATGGTATGCTGAAGAGAGTTTACGTTGGATTTGAAGTGAAGTACACATTTCCTTCCAAAAACGTGAAGTAAATTGAGAACCTCTGTCTCAAGTTCTTTGTGAGATAATTGTTTAAGTTCATCCAATATAGTAGTTGTAAGTCCAATAATTTTATTATTTGTTAATATTGAGAACGTTTTCTTTTCTAGCGAAGGACTGCACGGAATTCAAGAGCATCAACTTTTCTGTTACGAGATCCAGGTCTCCATTTTTTCTGACTTAATTGAAGTATAGGTGTCTGTGGGAGGCAATTATCCTTACAATATTCTGAATCAAAGGTGAGAGAAAAAGGAGTCCAACGAATAAAGGGATTATGGGTTTGTAACCAATGGATACCCAAGATGATTGGAAAAAGAGGAGATTTTATTATATCATAAACAAGAAATTCTGAATGGTTATTATTGATAATTGTCCTGATAGGAATAGTCTCATTTTTATAGGACCAGAGGGGATTAGAGATCCATCAATAACTCTGATGGAGATAAAAGATGCTTTTTTCATATAAGGAATTTTATTGTTTTCAACAAATGAGGAATCTATGAATATTCCTGGAGCTCCAGAATCAATAAAAGCTTCAGTCTTGATTCTTTCTTTGTCCCACTGTAAAATTAAAGGTACAGCGAACTGATGAGAGCAGGAAGAGGGAAGAGTTTTCAGAATTGATGTATTAAATTTAAGCTTTCCTTCCTTAGCGCGTTTTAGTAGATGACATTCTTGTAAAAGATGTTCCTTAGAAGCACAATACTGTTGTATAATCCTTCTCTCACCACCAATACTTCCAATTGGTATCCTTTTGAGAGAAATCCACTCTGCGTTGTGTATTAATAGTGAATGTAATATCCCTGTGTAACCTCTTCCAAGAACTAACATATATCTTTATCCCCTTGCCCAGATAAATATATGACTAGAACTACTAAGGTATTCTACCCAATATTACAAATAAACAGCCAACACCATAGTTCTTCCCAGAGAGAAATCTTTACTTAGAATCTGCCCAATTAAATATTACAGAAGAAGAATGTTACAGAGTTATAGTATTACAGTTACAATACATTCATAACACTCACACATTCCATCTATCTAATACTATCTGCTACATTGTGTATAATAATATTGGCTACATTGTGTATGTGCTGTGCAATGTTATGTGCAGCTTGTGTGTCTTACCAAAACCTAACCTAATGTGATGTCAGTATCTTCTATTTTTAAAGGAATTGGTTCCCATGTTGTAAATAGCAAATTCCTCAGCTCAATTTGACATGGAAATGTGATTTCCTTTCCCAAGGCCCAAAGTGTTGTCTATCCTGTTATTTTATTTAAGTGTTAACTCTCCCAGCCATCCCTTTTCCTCTAACCCAAGGTGTGTTTTCCTAGATAGGGACTCCTTTGAAGACCAGTTGATATGTAAATGTGATTGGTGCCTTTCAGGTGCTGTATCTTTCCAACTATCTAAACAGAAACTCCCTTTGAAGATAATTCCTGACCTCCCATACACACAGACTCAATCAAGCACATATTAAACAGATATATACATAATATTTTCCCCAACAAATACATACAGAGATTTAATTTTCTCCTTCTTGTTTTTTCTTCCATAGACAAAGGTCCGCTAATAAACCCAACTTCCATAGGTTCACCTGGTTGCAAGGGTTTATTAGGCATGCGCAAGGGTGGATTGGGTTTTTTCCAATGTGAATTAGAGAGAGCCTTTTCAGCTTTACGTTCTCTGATTCTCCTATCTATACTGATAGAGAGCTGAATTAAGGTATCAAGCGTTGAAGGAAGAGTAGTTCTAGATAATTAATCTTTAACTGTTTCAGACAATCCTAAACGGAACTGATTATGTAGAGCTATATCATTCCATTGGGTTCCAGAAGCCCTTCTTTTAAATTCAGCTATATAATCTTCCACAGGACGATTTATTTGTTGTAATAATCTAATAGCAAGATCAGCAGTAGCTTGTTTATTAGGATCCTCATAAAGTTGTGACATTGCTTCAATAAAATTATCCAAAGAATCCAAAATAGGATCTTAATTTTCCAAAAATTAAAGTGCCCAGGACATGGGTTCATCCCTTAAATAGGAAATCATTGAAAAGACCTTAATCCTGTCTGTGGGATAAGCCCTGGGTTTGAGAGTAAACAATAATTTGCATGAATTCAAAAATTCTCTATATTTAGAGCGATCTCAATTTTTTTTTTCAGGATTGCAGACAGCAGGGTCACTTGAAGAATGAGCAACTTTACTTTGCATTTATCTAATATAAGAAAGAAGTCTTTCATTAGCAATGTGCAATTCCTGCATGCCTTGAGTGAGCATTTCAACCCTGTGGGTTATGAGGTAATTTGGGAATTTACTTCTGCTGGTTCCATTTTGAGGCTTGGTGATTCTGTTACGCTACTTGGGTGAATTGGATTGGAACTCAACTGCAGCTTGTAAACCTCCCTAATTACTTTAGTGAAGATACAGAGGAACTTTAAAGTATCAATACTGTAGCTTTAAGAAAAGAGGGAATCGCTGGTAACTTGATTCAAACGAAGTTTTGATAAGTGTTAAACTATAATCCAATAAGAAGAAGTGCATGTAATCAACACAAAGTTCATTAATAAGTATTTCTTCATAGAAGCATTAAGTAACTTGCTTTGGTTAATGAGAATAATCTTCAATAGTAATGTTAAGCAAGTAGCTGAGAATAGTTGCAAAGCAAGAACAGTTCATAGTTAATAAGCATGATGGGAGTTGTCCTCCAGATAATCAGTAGCCTGAAGCATTGAGTGTATTTGCAAAGCAAGAAACAGTTCATAGCAAATAAGCATGATGGGAGTCAGGGCGGCCATCAGGGCATGACAACCGCAACGGTTGTCATGGGCCCGGCGGTCCTGGGGGGCCCGGACTGCTCAGGTCGTCCGGGCCCCACATTCAGTGGGTACATACCGGGTCGCAGGGGGTCCTGCGACCCGGTATGTACCCACAGGGCCAACCTCTTCTCCTGGGGGGCCCAGCAGCCGGCTCCGGCATCAGTACGGTGCGCGAGGGAGCTGAAGAGGAAGCACACAGAGAGTGCTCCCTCGCGCGCCGGCCCGCCGCTGAGTGTCAGGTGGGGGGAGGAGGAATTAAATGGGAGGGAGGGGGAAGAAATTAAATTCCATGGGAAGAAATGGAATTTGAGAGGGGGAATAAATGAAATGGAGGGGAATTAAATTGAGGGGAGGAATGAAAACGGGAGGGGAACTTAAATGAGGAGGGGAAGAAATTAACCTGAGGGCTGGAAGAAATGGAATTTGAGAGGGGAGTAAATGAAATGTGAGGGGAGTAAATGAAATGGGAGGGGAGCAAATGGAAATGAGGGGAATTAAATGGAGGGGAAGAAAATGAAATCTCTATGGAGGGCGAACGAAAAATGGGAGGGGGAGGAATTAACTTGAGGGGAGGGGGGGGAAGAAACGAAATTTGAGGGAGGGGTGAGGAGGCACCCAAATTTGAGGAGAGGGGGAGGAAGGAAGGAAATGGGGGGGGAAAGAAATGAAATTTGAGGGAGGGGTGGAGGAATGAAATTTGAGGGGGGAGAGGAATGGAATTTGAGGGAGGAGAGGAAGGAAATTTGAGGCAGGGAGAGAGGAAGGAAATTTGAGGCAGGGAGAGAGGAAGGAAATTTGAGGGAGGGAGAGAGGAAGGAAATTTGAGGACGAGGGAGAGGAAGGAAATTCGAGGGACGGGGGGAGAGGAAGGAAATTTGAGAGACGGGGAGAGGAAGGAAATGAGAGGGAGGAGGAGAAGAAGGAAATTGGAGGGATGGGGAGGAAGAAAAATTTGAGGGACGGGAGAGGAAGGAAAAATCTCGGGAGGGAGAGGAAGGAAATTGAGGGGGAGAAGAAGCTGAATTCTGAGGGGGAAGAAGGAAATTGAGAGGGAGGGAGTGGAGGGGAGAAGAAGGAAATAGGAGGGAGAGGGGGAGAAGGAAATTGATCGAGGGGGGGAGATGATCCATCACACACACAATGCACCCCCCTTGCACACAGCAGAAAAACACACAATGCATTACACACAGACACACGTGACAAGCAGCAATGCACCCCTTAAGGGACATACCGCCACAATGCATCCCTTACAGACGCACACACTGCATCCCATACATACACAAACTCATCTTGCAGCCCTTACACATACAAACACAGATTCACACAGTGCATTCCTTACACACATCAGGACATCCCCCACACACACACTCCACTCCCTGTGAACAAACTCATTGGTGGAACATGAAGGTGGACCCTGGGACCCAGATCTTGAGCTGTGTAAAAGGCCCTCAAAAAAAATGGAGCTGCTTCCCGTTCTCCCAGAACAGTGATTTTTGTGACCACAGTTACAAACCGCCTCCAGAGAGCCTGTTGTACACCAGACCAGTGGAGCCAGACGGCAGCTAGAGCCCATCATCATCCCCATCTGGTTGTAAGTAGGCAATCTAGTATATTATTCGTGGCACTAATCTCTAATTTACCTCACATTAAAGGGACACTATAGTCCCCAGAACCACTGCAGCTCAATGTAGTGGTTCTGGTGTCTAGCCTGTCCCTGCAGGCCTTTTAATGTAAACACGGCGGCACTGCAGCACTGGTGTTAGTTAACATGGCAGATCATATGGGTGGGGCATTGTGATGTCCCATTGTGATGGGATTCGGGGGGGCAGCACTTTGGGCGGACCGGGGGGCCCAGACCTTGAGCTGTGTCAGGGGCCCCAACATTTCTGATGGCAGCCCTGATGGGAGTTGTCCTCCAAATAATTAGTAGCTTGAAGCATTGCCGATTTGAGTAAGCAAGAATAAGTTAATTATTAAATGAGATTGTAACATAAGTACATTATTAAATGAGATTGTAGATTAGAAGATGAAAGATATACTTAAGGTTAGTAGTCCTCCAATAATATAGAGATATCCACTTGAATTTGACATAAGTTTCCGTTCGCCTGTAATCCCCTATGACATGCTGTACTTCCCTAGCCGGACGGCTAGTATGCCTTCAGAGCTTGAAGAGCCGGCGTGTCCAAGGAGCCGGCGTGTATTCTCCGAAGTTGGAACCACATCGCCAGAGACTGTGCAGAGGAAAATCTGGCCGATGTAGCTCCCAGCATTTCCAAACCTGTGGAGCCCGCGGTATCGCGGAAGTAGCTCGCACAATCACCAAGCACCCTCTCTCTGGCGCGGTCTCCCTAAATACTGTCAGAGCCGCGTCAGAGGGGGCGGGGTCCAGCTCCGCACAGCGGAGTGCCGAACCCAGAAGTGTTACCGCATGACACCTAGCAAGCAGGAAATGCCTTTAGTGGCTATCTGATTGCAGGGTTAAGGTGACAGGATCACTGCACCCAGGCCACCTCTATGAGCTTAAGTGTCTTGGTGCAAATAGTGTCCCTTTAAGGGAAAATAGCAAAATAATTTTACAGATATACTCCTGCTCTTATTATATGCAATAATTTCTCGTATAAGGATTCTGAGGCATCTAAGATTTATCTTAACAAATAAAGACAATTAGGTGAACAGCGCGAGAGATATGAATTACATACGTAGAAAGAGAGAGCGATATCCAAACATATATATAAGTTATAGAGCTATATAAGCTCTATTTCTTGAGCCTGGATGGAATAATCCCCGTCTAAGGATCTCTTTGTAGATTTCAGCTCTGCTTAACTCTCAAGTGGTCATCTTATATAAAGAGAAAGGAAATAAACCTAATGTGACGAAGTGCCCTTCGCCACTTGGTCCTGGAGAGGCCTACTTGCCAGCCTCCTCCCCTGTGACTATGACTCTTTCATGTATCTGGCTTTAAAGCCCCTAGTCTACCTTCAGACAGACTATTTATGTAGGCTGCTTTATTTATCTTATGTTTTAGTCACCCTGTACCCATTATAGGTGCAGGGTGTGTGTAATGTAATTGTTTATAGTGTGTGTGTGTGCTGTGTAATGTATTGCCTGCTCTCTTGTATTGCTGAGGTTTGCTACCAACTAGGTGGGTTTGGCTATGGAGCTGGTCTAGTGCCCTCTGTTGGTAGCAACAGCAATATGCACTACCTGAATTGCAAGACTGGTTCATTTGCATATTCGGGTAGATTTGCATATTGCTAATTCTGCAGGCAGGTGAGATATTTACTGTTAAATATTGTCTCCCCCCACCCCTTTAAAAATGTGCCATTGTGTTGTGATAAGTCACTGTGTGTTGCTTGATATGGTTTGACTGTTTGTGATTTTATTGAGGTTTCACAACAATGTTATTGTGGTGACCCTATTGGCTGGTCCCAAGGGAAATAAAGGTTTTGACAGTTCTTCTTGATCCCTCTAAATGTAGCCTTGTCTCGTTATTGGAGGGAGCTGTTATGATCACACTGGGGATTGCTATGCTCTGCAAGCTCCCCTGAGCTTGAGTCACTTAGCTCTTTTAAGAG